GTTGTTGCTGCTGATATTCTAAGAAGGTTCCATTTCCTGAGAGGAAAAAGGTGCGGAACCTTTTTTATTCATCGTCATCTCAAATTTCAGGAACTACAAAGCAGAAAACCTGAGAAAGTTTTTTCTTTGTAAGTCACATGGAAGTAAAGAATGTTAAAAGCTGCTTATATCGGCTGCTTGGCACGTTTTCTTTATACCTTTATCTCACTAACTGCTACATATTTAACCGTCTTAACCTATTTTTGTCATCAAACATCAGCTTTTTGATAACAGTTGCTTCCTTCTTCTTCACTATGTACTTTGGGGCCGAATTTTCTCCTTATGAGGGTGCTACCACTGCTTCGAGAACTTTGTCGTGAAAGTAATCAAATCAGCGCATCAAAGATTGCACTTCTTGGTTCCTTGCTGCTTGCTGGCACATTGTAGTTTCTTCTTTGTTTCCGTTGAATCCACCGCGAAGTTATAAATCAGCTCAGATTCAGTCAAGTAGTACACTTAATATATTTATAATTGATACCGTTCACTTGCGTCGCCGACAACATTTGCCCAAATGATGGCACTGTGCGCATTAAGGCCAATTTCGCTCGCAAATCTCAAGCACATTGTCGGCGTCTCACAAGCATGACATTTGCTTCCGAGCAATATTGTCGAACCAAATTCAAGATTGTTGAGATTCTAACGCAGTAAAGTAGTGAGGTCTCTAACTAATAGGCGCCCAAGTTTGGCTACAAAAGCTGTACGCCAAAGCGAGAAAATCATTCCAAAAGGTGAAGGCGAGCTGGGTAGCCACGCCCATCAACATGAAGGATTTGAAGATAATGAGCCCGAAACTAGGCTCACTAGCACTTGAAGATATGGCAATCCATCTTTCATCGTCAAAATACGTTTCGGTAATCTGGAACCCGGATTCGGGCTCATCACTTTACCACCCACGTTGATGGGCGTGGCAACCTCAGCGGATGCACGTTCTGAAGCAATCATCTCGCTTTGGAGTGCACCTTTCGCAACGGGAAATGGGTGGCTACCTAGTTAAGGCCTTCCTGAAATACTGCATCAGAATCTCACCAACCTCTGGTGCTGTGGGCTCACCTCTGTTCGTCTTTACTGGGTAAAGCATGTTAGTTTTTGTTCCTTTATCATTTGTTTCCTATGTACCTCCTTTTTTTCTGAAAACGAGGAAGTGCTGTTGAAGCCATAGATCGTATCAGTTCTTGGAGCCTTGATGTTACAATGTCAAGCTTTCTTTTTCTGCTAAGAAGATTGCGCTACAGTACCTAATCCTGTTAACAAAGTCGGAGTTCAGTAATAGGATTGTGGTATGCTTTTTTCAGTGAATATATAAGGAATTGCAGTGCATAAGCTGACAGCACTCTTAATTTGTGTGGCATTTGGGCATTTTTAGCTTCGCATTCCACAAACAAGTGTTAAAAATTTCCTTTTATCGACATGTCTTGCATTGGATTATTCTTGATGAACTTGCTGTTATCTTAATGGTTTTTGCTACATGCTCGGTGGTCGTACAACAGAGTTCTTGAGAAAGAAAATTGTGACTTATTTGTCCGGAGCGACGTAGTGATCATGGCAAAATTCTTGGAATTTTGAATTTTTCTTTGAAGTAATTTCATAATTGGATTTAAAACGAACGTCTTTTTTATATTAATTCATACTCTATCTATAATTATCAACTAAAAAAACTTCCAAACTACTATTTCATACAAAGTAATGTTCATAATTGCAGAAAATGGCCAGTCAGACGTAGCTGATCCTATTTTCCAATTAGTCCGCTAAAGGATAAGAGTGGCAGCGGCTAAATTACCCAAGTGCAACGATAATTGCGCTTCATTCCTTTCTGAAATTAGACAATTCGCTATGCCATTACGTTCAGGAGCAATTCTCTAATGAATATACAAGCTATCAGTTCCTCTTTGGCATTTCCCAACTTATCACGAGGTATTTCATGCAAAGTCATTACATAGTACATTTTCAACGTATACTTTTGAACTTTTGATTAGAACTTAAATTGATATCAAATGCCAGTAATAATGTCAATTTTAAGCCGAAATTTACTAAAATAATAAAAATTATCATTTTACAAAAGTACGTACTATAACAGCGATTTTTATGGGTCATTGGGATGAGTTATATTACTGTAAAGCACTCTTTGGCGAAGGGTATATAGGTGGAACTTTCTCAAAATATAATCATTTCAAGCTTTTCATCTGTTTCATGCATCCATCAAGACTCCTATTTTTATTCTTTATCGAAAAAACTTGATCAGAGATTATTCTTGGCTTGACGTAATTAGGGAGCTGCCTTTGATAGATTAACATGTATTATTTTTTATTTTCCCCGAAAGAAACGCATCAAGCATATTGAAAATGAATCAATCAGTAAATTTTGTAAGTGAAAAATAACTCATTTCCTTCACCCCTCCCACAATTATTCCATTTTCAAAAGGTGAGTATTATTTCCATTTCTTATTTACTCCAGTTGATCATGCACACAATTCTCTAACCATTCGAAAGCACTATTCAATTATTTATGCGTATGGCTTCGATCGTATTGTAATGTTGTTCCTTTGCCGCCTATATTTCCTCCAACTAACAATATTGACACATTACAACGTTCACGTTCATTGCCTAGCATTTGGCGCAATTCCAAATTAAGAAAGCCTTATTGTTAGATTGACTGTTTGATTCAGAACACTCAGTTCATATTGCTTGGTTTGTTCTATTATACACTTTTATTTTTAGGTGTTGTTGGTTTTCCTAACAACTTTACTCTCCTTCAATACACTAAGGAAATTAATCAAGGATCTGCTATAACAGCAACTGGTTATATCAGGAAAGTGGCGTAAATCCACCTTATACACATGACTCAAATGAAAATAAAGTTTGCAGTAAAACAAAGGAATTTCCTCTTCTACCAAGCTACGAGTTTCTTCTCAAGGGTACAATGGGTATTTTTGGTACATCACCTTCAAATATCAGCAAAATTTCAAAATAAAATTGATGTAATGCGTTGGTCTAAGTTTGCCATAATAGAGCCATAACATTTCCTAGTAACCGTCAGAATAAAGCTAGCTGAATGTTTGGTATTTTCACTATTTGTACTTTGAAAATTGCCTTTTGGAAACGCTGCTTCTTACGAGAAGATTTTCTTTGTCTCAAGTTGTATGCCATTCATGAATCAATATTCTTTTACGACTCCTTAAGGTGGCTGAAATGTAACCATGAAATGGCTTCGACTACTTGCAGTGTTATTGATACATTCTAGAACCAAGCAGTACTTGCATCAATACCCGCAGATTAGATTCTGAGATTTTCAGTGAAAGGGAAAATCTTATGCATTCATTCATTACCAGTGCGTCACCTCTGCTTCGCAGAGGCTCGCACTGGCCTTACATTCTGTATGCCTTACTAATTCCCGCATAATGATGACAATGAAACTCACCGCGTTATGCAGGCTATCACGAATAATTTGTAAACAGCCACTCATTCCTAGAGCTTTTTGTGCGAGATCGGTAATTTCACGTGGATAAAACTTTTCTCAGAAGAATAAATGCAAATTTGAATAGGTTTGTGGACTTCTCATGGCTTTGTAGTCGCCACAACGGCAATAATCATCGTGGGCTGCATCTCTGTGCAAAAATCTTCTCAAATGATCATGTAAAATCGTGGTAAATTGAACATTTACGCACTGATACTTTTTGGCGCCATTTTCGTAAAGTAACCAACTTTAGTTGAATTTTTTGGGCTAAAGTTCACGGCTTGTACATTAGCTTGTCAAACATATCCACGACTTTGCAAAAAGTTTATATACGGACCCAAATTTGCTGGTCAGAAGTTGAGTGGACCCGTTTCGCGCGCAATTTCTAGGGGATCCACTTATCGGATCCGCCTGTGCTTTTGCACAAGGGACTTTCCTGCTGCTGGGATGTGTTAAGCAAAATTTGAGCTCAAGAGGTTAGCTGGAACTCTCCCTACGAATTTCGTAACGGACAGACAGACACACGCACACAAAAAAACGTAAACAACCCTTAGCCCGTTATTATAAGTTATGATTGCTTATACAACGCAGCATTTAAACTTAAGATGTATATCTTTGGCAGCTCTACTTGAATCTAGATCTTTCATAATTTTCTTATAAACCTTTGTCAGTACTGACATTTATTGTTAGCCGTTTTCTGGATTTGATAAAGTGGAAATACCCATGTTGCTTTCCTCATGGGTATCCCCCTCATTAGGATCAATCGCTCTTGTTTGCTTTCTCCTTCGGGTGCATGAAAGAGTTTGTGACAATGTGATAATTGTAATGGTCTGTTGAATACATAATCAATACGTTTTTTTGTTGAGAAACATATCATTGGTGAATGTTGAGTAGGCTTTCTTTCGTCCAAACTGCAGCTGTTAGCCATGCAAAATGATCCGTTTTTAAATTGGAATGATCTTGAACGGATGTAAAAGGTGAACTCCACTCATATTAGATAAATTAGCGGTCTTAGCAGTACTGCTGAGAAAACAAAAAATACGGATAAAAACCATCCACTCTATACCATCCCATCTATAGTGTACTTCTTCAAACCTCATCGTATATCGTCCACATCATAACCGCCCGCCACTGATGTTGTTTTTCCATGTTACCATTATCTTCTTTAAACTATCACATCACATTCCTGCAACCATTGCACGCCATATCACATTAATGACGTATTTCTCACAGCTGCCAATCTGCCATTCTTAAACTTTTTCTTGGCACCGACAAGTGCGCCGGATGTCTTTTCGAGGCTAGTAGAATGAGTAATGTCGATGCCCCTGTACTATAGTGGCTTATCTAGATCTTCTATCCTCACATTATTGGTTGTGAAATTGTCAAAAAAAATAGAACGATGATTTTTTTGCTAATTATAATAAATACGTTTGTTTTTGCGAAGAATAATTTTGTGACTATCCGCTCTCGAATGTTCTCCACCAACTACCGCCATTTTGCCAAAAGTTAATGTTTTAGACCTCGACAACGATGATACGTTAAACGACAGTGCCATGTTTACGATAGTTCTTTTCGTTATTCTACGTCTAGTCTATACGATCTATGCTGCTAATAAAGAAGTGACTAGGATAGATGAGATGCTCACCAAAGATAGGGAGTTCTACGATCTTTGGCAGCATCTAATCACAGTACAAGTAAGTTTGCTTCTTATATTTTTTGTTTTATGGCCAGAACACGCGGCAATTTATAATGTTGAGTCATATCAATGCAAATTTCGTATTTCTTCTTTCAAAGGTTTGTTTTAGGGCAGAGCAAGCTATAGAGACCATTTTTTCTAGTCTCTCATATATGCCTTCGCCATAGATCTCTGATCATTTCAAAGTTTTGAGCCTTCAAAGCAAAAGTCGTATCTTTCCTTGCACTTTCTTTACCTTAAATCCGACGAGAATCACCATATTTTGAAAAATGTGCATAACGGTTGCGAGGCTTTATGCTACAAACTATTTTGAGTATCGTCAGATCTTGAACTGAGAAATTTTTGCAAATTTGAATAATGGATGGAAGCCTTCCGTGTCGCGAAAACGAAATAGAATTAAACCTAAGCAAAAAGTAACTGCAATTCTTACGTTCTTTACAACAAGGGTGAACCCAGTACACCAAGCGATGTAAAATCTAAACCCGCTGAGATGTGAATAGCCGACCGTTCGCCTTAGCAGTAGTTTTATTGCACCTGAAGAAACCTTTTGTAAAAGAGTTGTTCATTGTTAAATCATAGAAATCCTGCACCAGTTAAAAATCAACCTATCACCTTGCCCTTTTTATTGCATATTTTTACCATAACATAGACATTTTCAGGCTGATCAATATGCCGAACAAACAATTGACTTTCCCCTTTCCTATGCTTCATTGAATTCTTGCACGCGTGTACCACCTTCGGATGGCGAAGAGGTTGCCGATAGTCTTCGACCGTCTTCAGTAGATATCTATGCGGATTTGGGGCATTTGTCAACATTTTGCAAATCTAACCTCTCGATGTTGCAAGCAGGTTGCAGAGTTGATCCTTTTACTTTGTTATTGCTCTGTAAATTATCTTTTCAGGAGTCCTGGACTCTTGTAAACATCGAGTGTCGGATATGGAATTGCCTTCATTTGACAAAATGCTACGGGTATTTAGTCCAAATCTTACCGTTGTACAAAGCAACGAAAGAGATGACAACTTGCTGGATCAAGCGAAGTAAGTTTCATTTTTCTCATTAACACTGTTTAACCTAAAAGGATATAGTCTTTGCATTGCTAAACTTCATTTGTAGCATGAAAATTGCTGACACTCAAGACATCCGAAAACATCATATCTGCTTTCTTTCAAACTCATCCTTCTTGCACTGTCCAAGATTTCTATACGGAGTGCGAAAAAGCAACTCCATGCAGGATCCTTCACGTTGGTGACAAGTGAACACTCGAAAACAGTTTCATACCTTTACCACTTTCTTACTGCTATGTCATTCAATTCGAATTTCCTTTCAAAACTCAGAACTTCCGATGCTGTTGAGTGCTAGCGGAAAGGAAAAGAAGTTCCGGAACCAAATGTCTATAATACATCAAACATTAGGTGTAGAGAATCTACGTAGGATTTACTAGTCAATATGTGATGTGTAATACTGCCTCCCTTACGATGGCATAGGAAGGCTACTGCCATCCTAACTTGAAAAAATTAAACATTCTTCCGCTACAGTTTTTCGTGAAAATCATGCTTTGTTATTTAGCTCCATTACTTAGCTCCATTGCTCCTATACACGCCAAAAAAGCCGTATCATGATTGCTATAAATAACATACTGGGCTAAGCTAGACTGCGCGGCGTGCTTATTAGCCGGTAGTAAGAAATTCTGAAAAAACTTTACGCCTTCATTTACACTGTTTTTACATGAATTTTTTGAGGGACGCTCCTTTGTCCACCTTGATTATACTCAAGAGCTTTTCCGTTATTCTACTCCCATAAGACCCCTTTGCTGCTTTCTTCAAAACGATTTTTAGCTTGAAATTTGTCACCTTCATTTACAAGCTTCCAGCTATCATATTTATCTTGGACGAAGATATCTCACTGCGTAGCAATGAGATTATCTTCGTCCAAGATAAATATGATAGTGTAGCATACATGTTAAGACAAGAGCGAGGAGGCGTACCACTTTCTGGTACTGAAAGTTAAAATGGGACCGTTGTAAACCTGTCCTTGCACTATTGGACTAAACAGTATTTTTTGTAACTATAAGAAGCTCAAAGAATTCACAGACAACTGTTAGGTAAAAAAATATATCAGGCACGTCTTGATTATTTTCAGAAGGGTGTAACTTAAAGGCAGCGTCCGGGCAGATACGAAATTTCAGCGTACAGGGGCTCCCGTTTTGGTAGAGCCCTTGCCCAACTGGCAGTGCACTAACTTGCTTCTGAAGCGAGAAAATGGCTTCAGAAATGGCCACCGGGACGCCCCGGCGACTGCCCGCCCCTTTAGTCGATAGCCAGAGTACGTATGCCGCACACAGTCAAGGCGTAGGGCCCCACCACGACTCTGTGTCTCAAGGCAGGGGTAGAGAAACGAACGCCTCAATTAGGCAACGCCTGCGCGGGGTGCTGGTCCTTTCGTCCTACTGTTGTGCATCGTGTTGGGACCAGTGGTCCGCGGAGGTGGTGCCTAATTGAGGTGTTCGTTCCTCCACCCGCTCGGCAGCAAGCTTCCATATTCAAAATCAACAGCTTTTAGAATAGCCCATCAACATTTTCGTACTTTGTAAGCTGCATTTTCACAATCAGCGGGAAGAATAAGCCCAAATAAGCGAATAACATTTTGTTCGAAATTTTGCTCGGACGCTGCCTTTAATCTGGAGTGGGGATTTTCCAAATAAAAACATGTGCATCATAAATGCAAACATGGAAGAGATTTAATACTGTTTTGTAAAACCCACTATGTCAACCCAAAACTGACCTTGTTTCGCTTAGTAAGGGCTCTTCTTCGAACTTTTTTCCGCTTCGGAAGTTGCAGACAAGACAAAATGTGCCTTGTCAAGCAGGAAAGATTCGGAGAGAATAGTGGAATTAGGGGTTGATGTACACTATACTTTAAATCTCCACTTGCGGTTTGGCGTTATTGTGCAGAAGGGTTGATCTCGATTCTAATAACAACAAGTATTTTATGCAGTTGTTACCTCCAGGTTCAAATAGGTATAAGCACTACTCAGCTCCATTTGCGCACACGGTAAGAACGTAATGATAACTCCACAGACAGAGGAACCAACCAGTGGTTTCTCGGGGTGCGCAGATGGTGTGGAGCTTTCAAAGTCATTTTGCTTGATCTCAGAACGTCTCTGCGTGTGTATATCCTAAATGCGTCAGATTAAACTGAGTTATAATTGAAGCAGATAGCACTTGCCCTACGGATTGAACTAAACGTAGTATTTTCATGTGACTCACAACTTACTACAACTTCCAACTTTGAAGAATGTGTGTAAATTGCTGATTCTTGCAAGATCTGCAGTAGGACGCGAAAACAGAAAATATATTTTTTTATTCTTAAGAGAAGAATTTGCGTATTCAAGGCAAAAAGAATAAACTTGTATTCTGCTCTCGATGATGCTGTCTGTAGTTAAATTAATGATAGCAATAAAAATCTGCCTGTATGGACACAATCAGTTTTCTCTTCTATGTGAAAAGTACCTAACAATACTTGGCGATATCGAAGGCAATCCTTTGATCGAATTTAAGCCATATTACCTTAGTCAAACGCATCTATATAAATTTTAACTCTTTGCATATACGTGTGGCGTGCAAAGTCGCGATTTATATACTGCCTTTCATAGAGACTATGTTTGTTGCAGGGCCATCGCAGAGTCAATACAGCAAATCGAGGGCTATGAAAATGCGTGGAAATTTATTTTAATTGCAGCAACTATACAAGTAAATCGCTCTTTTTGAAAGATGCATATATCTTCTTAAAACTATCTCAGGATGGTGACGCGTCAGAGACTGGCCAGACTGCAATTGAGGTGCTCAGCGCTGTGGAGGAGTTCTACAGATTACTTCCACTCCGAACGTTTATTGCCGTTGTGAGGAGCTCTGGCAATGGAATGTGGGCAGATGCAAATCATTCTCACAAGGTAAGCGTATAGAAATTTTTTGTGTAGCATACCCTACTTTTTGTAAACACAGGCTTGTCGCGAGCTGTTGGAAAGGTGGAAGTCTTATGCACGATACAACTCCAATTCTGTTTGGGATCAGGTGAAAATCTATGATCGACCTTTTGTCGTAAATTCAGCAACACCACTTTCAGGTAGAAATTATCGTGCAGAAAAATTTCAGAAGAACGAACTTCACTGTTGAGATTCTTCCACTACTACGCGAGTCTGCTTTGACCAACCTTCCAGAACAGTTAAGGATAAGAATCACATTTACCAATATCAATTTCTGAGTCATTTAGGATGGACCTCAGCGTATTTGGATACGATTGTGCTCACTTCTCTGAAAGAGGGTTGTCACTCTTGCATATGGCAGTTTGGAATTCAATGTTCACCAGGAGTGGCGACAGGTGCTAAACTCCTAAGAATATTTACTCTCTAGGTTACTCTAGAGCTGGATGCTTGCATTCACATATGTGCTGACATTATAAAAATCCTTGAAACTAGTTCAGCAGAAAAGGTGTTGTGAAAAGTTGCAGCACTTAGGCAGTGCCTTTATCGAACTCTGAGATTTCAGAATACGAAATTATCGACCTTCACCTCCGCTAATGATGTGCCCAGATTTCCGCTGCCCTTACTTTCGTACTGTCAGCAACAGTGGTTACTGTATATACAGTGGTGCAATGGTTGGTTCCTACTTTCATTTGTAACAGAGAGAAATAGTGGAAACGGTTTTGAGAGTGGTAGCCTTAGGACCATTTGCTTTATTTTAGGGTGAGGAACCGTCTATGTATCCCAAGCTATTCACTGTATTAGCTTTGCTATTTTGCCTTGTACTTACTGCTGTGGTGTTATTCTTTATCTGTCGAAAACCGCGACGAACAGACGACATCAAAAAGCCGATGAAAGCTTTTGGCGCAAGCTTCAGTTCGATTAGATTTATCGATGAGGATTCGATTACGTGATTATTGAACTTTTAGACGATCAGAAAGTCTCGATTTTGTTGCTAGTGGTAGCACCAATGCATTAGTAAGTGAATATCCCGGTTTCAATCGTTTGAAAGCTTATATGATTGTTCAGAATGTATATGTAAAATGCTTGTTTCTTTATGATGTTGTAATTGTTTGCGTTTTATATGTCTGAGCAGACGCCCATCTTCAACAAGCCAAATTTTATCGCATGAAACGATAAACATAAAGCAGAAGATGTCGTCGCCAGCTCGCAATTTGTCGCATACTTTCAATTACGGGGTATTTGTAATATCTACCATTGCTTTTTGCTTCGAAGTTTTCACTGCCTCCGTTGTATACATTTCTTTTATATGCATTTCTTATCTGTGATTATATCATGATGAAGTTGCCTAAAACATTTCTTTTGTGTATTGATTGACTTGTACTTCTCAAAGAATCACAGCTTCAATAAAGCATTATTCGTTTCATTCAAAAAATCTGTGGGTTTTCAAAATTTGGGTTCTTGACATTTCAAAGTTATTTCTGGTTACTACGTGCAGATTACTTACAAATGAGAAGCACAAATATTAACTAGATACAGATGATGATAAAAGTGATCGTATACATCTACGTACAAAAACGTAGGCTGGCCATTGAATTCATTCCTTTAGCATTTGTACGACTCAGTATCATGTGTATGAGTAGTTAGTTGTCTATAGACCATGAACCATTCATGCTGGATCTTACCGAGGTAGAAACAAATAGGGGTTCATACGTTTTGAAAAAATCAAAACAAATCGAACTCTTCTTCCTTAGTGTCATCGCACTCACAAGTTCGCTCAAGTTGTAATTCCAGCTCACCCTTGATTAAAACAAATTAAAAACAAAACATTGAATTAAAAAGGAAAGCAGATGTTAAATCAACGTTTAAAGACGTATTTAGTGATGTACATCTCGTCTTCAAGCGCAAACTCAAGTCAATAATCCTTCTAGCGAGATGGTTCGCTCAAGCTCTTTGGGTAATAACGAGGGATTGAGTCTTGAGTCAAACAAAGAATGGAATATTTCGAGTTATGTATGGCTTCAATCTGTAATATGCTGTGTTGTTCAACGGTTACGTCTATGGGCGGGCTGCCACTGTTGTATGCTCCTTAATAACGTGAGGCTGATGGAGCGCTACTTCAGATATTCAAGTGCAGAATACATACCCGGATATGATTGTAGGTAAGGAGCTGCACGTCTGACCTAGCTATAGCTTCGATTAAAGGAATGCTCCGTAGTTTCCCAACTAATTCCACAGAGCATCTAATTGTTTTTAGCTTGTGTAACACTCTTCGTAATCTTACCATCTCATACCTTAGAGGGCTAGCTGATACACCACTTATTTTTGTATATGTTTGATACGATAGTTTGTGTTCCTTCTTGTTGTTATCTGTAAATCCCTTCCAAAGTAGAAAACGTACGCTACAAATGATGTTCGGTGCAGAATTTTCTCCTTACTTGCCATTATCAGAATGATAATTTGGTTGAAAGCTTCGGGAACCTTCAAAGTATTCAACCCCTACTTTACCTTCTCTGAATTTAGCTTATAGAATTTTAGTCTAGATTTTCGAAAATACTTCGTTAATCGATAGAATGAGCAAAGCTTCGTAATGTGATACAATTCTCACAACCCTTTAGCTGACCTTGACCTTCTGAATCAATTAAAGCTATTCTTTGAACAGATTAAGTTCCATATGACACACCTTAAGAATTCAAATTACAAACTCTGTAATCAATACGACCAGAAAATAAACAGCCTGGTTCGTTTTTGCTTTTGATTTTTTGATATTGAATTTAAAAAACCCAAAATATACAAAAGTAACAATGAAAATATAAGCACATCGAAGCATTTATTAAAGCAGTATTACCGGTCAAAAACGAGAATCGCAATAATTGTGGGAAGAAATTATACTAAACACCGTCTCCCCAGCACAGTATCAGACTACATGTTTAAATATCCCTTGGAAATTCGGTGATAAACACCAAGCATTTTGCTAGAGTACTGCCACGCTTTCGAAAAGGTGTTGATTTTCTGGCGCCATCGTAGTTATAACGTAACAGGAAGGGAACAGAAACTGTTCTAAAAGTCGAAAACAAGCTTCGCATTCTTACATTTCTTCATATCTTTTTCCTAAAGATACGCTGAGCTCAGGCAGAAAAAAAAATAGTTTTGTCTCTACGGAGAGCCATATGAAAGATCCATTCCAGAATGTCTCGCAAAAGTGGAACAACGAATTATATACTGGGTGCGATTTTCATATTGTTCGGAATTATTGTGCAGGTTAAGAAAACTTTCAACTAATCTCAAATGATATCAGTCATCTTCAGATTGCTTATTTTCTCGAATTCCTCGTAATGGCTGGAAAGCAGAACCGCCGCCTTTCATGCTACAAAATCATGATATCGTTAGGTACGTCAGCTTATTTTCGGAAGCTTATTTAGCTCAAAGCGTCACTAGGAAGGGATTTGACGAAAGAAGGAAATGAGAGTAGACTAGACAATAACATATTGAATTCGCGTCAAAGGATTTGCTCTGAATCGAGGATAATGTTTGCAAACATTTAGGGTTATATGATATGGGCAGTATGTGGATCAATTCCATGCTTACCGGTTATTTTTGGATTACTGGAGCAAACTACTGCACAAATCCAAATTTGATCTATATTACTGGTTCCCTCGCATTAGGTATCACTAGAAACTTGAAAACATCTGTTTTATAATACGAAATACCCTAATTTCCGGGGTATAAGGCGCACCTTGTATAAGGCGCACTCGCCGCAGCGAACAATGGCGCGAAAACGCTTTCTAAATCTGGAAAACTGAAGACTCAAGACTGCTGAGGTTAATCCCCGGTGCTAAATTTGTGCTTTCCTTTGTTCCCAATGATGTTACTGGTACTAGACTGTGCTTTCCTTTACAATGATACTACTGATAATTTGAAGGTGCTGTTTGTTTTATTCTTGTCATTCTTTAAGAATAGAAGAGAAAGCAGAAATTTGTTCTGAAACAAATCATTACTGGAAGGAAAACGGCAAAGAAAGGGAGCAAAAAGCTACTCCTGAATGAAGGAGGTCGCTGTTGGCTGCTTGCGCGGCGCCGCGCATCGCGTACGTCATCATCATCAGCGCGCGCGCGGTGAAAGCTACTGCGCCTTATACCCCGGAAATTAGGGTATTTCAAATCAGAGCAGTATACAAACTGGCTTCATTTTGCAGCTTTCTGGTGTGCTTCTTGTATGAATTGTTTCATACTGGTAATCTTTCGCATACTGGAGCTGTGCAACAAACCGCTAATGGAACTGGTAAAAATTAAAGTAATTAACTTAAATTCCGTTTGCTTTCAAATACACTTTCTAGTTATTTATGGAATCGAGAACGTACCTCGTGTTAATAATTCCCTTTCTATATGGTCTGTACTTCTGTCTCTACACAAAACCCCTGCTTTTCAATTCCGACCACCAGTCATGGTTTTTCTTCACATTTATGCAAAATCACAGAATGGAAGAAGTAAGAATTTGAAAATTAAGGAGGTTGTAGTGTTGAAAATGAAACTTTAATGAAACATTAATGGCGATGGTTGATATGAATGAAAGATAGGGGTTAGAAGGAACGATCAAGATGATATGTATTGCTTTGATATCACTTTACTTTTTGACAATATTTAGTACTTCAACTACTCGCAAACTGTGAACAATATACTTGTTGTAGCAGTAACGTGTTTACTATACCTCCAATATTTTCGAATTCTGCTGCAATTCTCGAAGCTCAGCAGTGGATTGTCGTGGACGCAAAGATCGGTAGGATGCTAGTCTCTAAAATCAGTACGATTTTACATTCATTTAGGTTTTCTTGCAATGCGCCAGCATATGTCTTATCAATCTTTTGTACGCATCTATATCAGTCTATTCTAATATTGTTCCTACGCCTTCTTACTTCGTTTACATATCACATTTGTGTTGGCAACTAGGAAATGGTACGTTTCATTCGCTGATGCTTTTTCCACTAGTCAATAGCAAACAAGATCAACTACAACTTTACAGCATTTCCGGCTTTCGTTTACCTGGTGCTCAATCGAACTATAAGAAAGGAAGTATTCGCTCTTTTACGATTTCGTAAAGAACTATTACAAACGAAAGTCATTCAGTCATCACGAACAACACCTTTCTTTCATAAAACATAGGCTGACCAATAAGAATTTCCAACGAAATTTTTTTGCATGCAGGCTTGCAAGAAGTAACCAATCAAGCAGAGTCCCATTCTAACCTCTAACGCATCGAGCCCAATGATTCAACTCCATTGTATGATATTTGTTCAGACTCATTAGCTAACATAAAACTCTCTCTAAAGAGATGGCTTCAACAATTGAAAATAACTGTCCATTGAGCTTGGAGGTGCCACGCAGGCGAAATCTTCCAAATAATTTAAAATTTCGGACTCCCGAAAAACTATGCAGAAAATTCACAACATTTCAGCTTTATTATTTTGTCTATTTTCGTGAAGTGCAAAATAATGCGAAGCACCAGAAGGTTGGCAAATCAAGTAGAATACTCGGAACTATTCAATGAAAGCGACCATGTGTTACGTGTTTTGTCGCACTAAGTTGTCTCTGCAGTAGAAGCTTTTATTAGGAATTGATAAAATCAAGTGATTGCTCTCGATATTCAAAGTGTGCCGCATGCTTGTAATGGCCTTGCCGGTTGTGGTTGTTTACACTGTTTTGCAAATTTTAATGGAACTGATTACAAGTTATGGGTAACACTGTACTCAAAGTTAGGATTACGGGGTTCTTGAGCATTTTAGAATCTACTCCAAAAATTGCATTGGATAGTTTGCGGATTAAAAGCGTTTACATGGCTCGCCGCAACCCCAGCATCTTTCACTGCGAACGTCGTGGTCAAAGTTCATCTTAAAAAGAAATTATCGAAACACTTGCGGCTCAACCACATCACTCGGAGAGCAGCGAGCTTGAGGACGCCCCACTTCTTGCCCGCTGTAGGCCAGTCTTAGCGGGGCAATGATGTTGGCAGGTGAGCAAGCGGGTTGCTCATACCGTTTTGGGCAGATACCGTCATGAACGACAACAAGGAGTTTATCCACTTTTCTAGATCTTACCAAGCAAGCTAAACAGTGAACTATAGACGCTTGAAGGCAGTGGCTCGGCAAAACCAAAAATCTTGAAAATTTGATATGGAAGGTTGCTTGTACCTCAAACATGAGAACAGAGGTCCGAGCTCAAGGCATGCTGCGCCTGCCTAGAAAACCGCTCCTAAACCTGTACGCGCAAGCCATTCATATACGCACTCGGACGAGCTTCCGACACCCCTCTCACTGTCAGAGGCGGCATGCCGCAATGCTATAAACATGAGGGTCCCGCAACGACTCTACGTCTTTAGCAATGGCGGGTAGTGTTTCACTCTTCCAAATTCAAAATAAGGGGCCTTAGAAAATACTGCTTTTCGCCATTTTTGCGCTCTACAAGATGAATTTTCGGATTCAGCGCGTCGAACTGCCCCAGGTAAAAAAACTCCAGGTCGAGGATTTGCCGGGCCACTGCCTTTGATGGGCGCTTAAAGGCGCCGGCGGTCACCTACCAGCCCAACTTCGGCTTAGGGCAGTTCGCGGCATGGGAAAACGAACAAGCTTCCGCGTAGTTTCCCATGCGATTGTCTGAGCATGGCAGCAGGTGAATTCAAGGTGTGTATAGCTATCAAAACTTATTGATCCAATACTAAACAGATGGGAGAAATTTGTCCTCCTTGTATGAAGTGTTTTGATAGGTAAAAGAAAAATGATGTGCTTTATTTTGCCTGAAGAACATGAGAAAGTAAAGCAAAACTCGAAAACTGCAGAAAATAGAAAAACTTGAATTCTCACACGAAACTTTATAAAAAAAGGGCTTACTGAGATTACAAGTATTCGAATGCGGTGGCCAATCGCCTTAATGTTGCTTTCCAAACGCGACGCCCGGAGTCAGTCTTGAATAGCGGCAATAATAACGTCACTGTTATAGATTGCGATAGCAGATGAAAAGAGCTTGTTTACAGTTGGAAAAAGCCGAGTGTCTTTTGCATTAGCCAGAATCGCTATTCCAACGTCGAACACTTTGCTTGATAATAACTCTAATATCAGTAATGAGTGTCAACTATAGGAAGGGTGTTAAATCTTGGATGTTGTTCTGGATTACAGGCATACCTGATGCTTGCATTTGCCTGGATACTAGAGGAAACAGGCACAGACAGGGCCCGGCACAGATGGTTCAAGGTCAAACTGGACTTCGTTTCTGAGGTTAGAAGCAAAGGGGATATCGTTTTTATAAGGTCCTGGGCAAAGCACATAAAAAATGACAAACATGTCAGGTTTTACGAGTTGAACGTGTTCTTTGTCAAGCGAGCGATTTTCAAACGTAAGACCGAAATGAACAGATGGCTTGTTTACAGTGCACAAACTATCACATGATGCCGAATTTGGGCTATGTATATACAATATCACTCCGAACTGTATTATGCAAAAAATCTTAAAAACTCATGTGCCCTATTATCCGCTCTCGAATTTGTTGGTTTCTAGACCAATACCAAACCTACTGGGTTGGTTCGGAGCATAAATATCGGAGAGTTCACATTCTGGACCTTTTTGATTTGGACGAATAGAACGCTTCAAAATCTATCATACAGCGAAGAAAGCAAGTCAAACCACTGCTTCTCCTCTTTTTTTGAGCCAAAAAGTGTAAACCAAAGCATTGATAGATATCGCGCTCCAATCACATGCGGTGTCCTTTGAACTATGTGGCGAAAAATGCATCGCCAGATGGTTGGGGTCACAGATTTGGTTGGCCTTAGAAGTTTTCAATGTTCTGAACATCAAAATGGTACCATACTCAATAACTGAATCGATTCAGAATATTTTTTTTGTTATTTTTTTGTTATATAAGGTTGGCCCGAAAGTCCTTCGCACCAAATTTAAAAATTCATAACTTCTGATTTTTTCAAGATTAGACTGCTTTTGTTTTTATAAGAAAAAGTAAGTCATGCACTTTATAACGGCATCTTAGCTACTTACTAAAGGTCATCTGCTGCATAGATAGGAGCGATAGAAGAAAATTGGGGTCATAAAAATCGGAAACATGCAACAAAAATCGGAACAGTCGGTATCGTAGGTTTTTTCACCAACTCTTTCTAACAATGCATAGTTTGCGCTGATTGAGCGTCTTTATGAAAAGTTACGATTTCCCTGATAAATGCCGAAATAGATCAAATTCGCCCTTTTGTATTGCTTGCTCGAAAATCGTAACTTTTCATAGAGACGCTCAATCAGCGCAAACTTTGCACAGTGGGAAAGTGCTGGTGAAAGAAACTACAATACCGACTGCAGCTTTTGTTGCAAGTTTCCGATTTTTTATGACCTACACGAAAAATTCGAATTTTGACCATTTTCCTTCTATCGCTTCTATCTATGCAACAGATGATCATTAGTAAGCAACTAAGACGTCATTATAAAGAGCATGACTTACTCTTTCATAGAAAATAAAGGCATTCAAATCGGTTGGAAAAATCAGAAGTTATGAATTTTTGAAAATAATGCGAAAGAACTTTCGGGCCAATCTAATATTAGGCACCTTATACCTGCTTTTTTTCGATTTCTTATCGTTATGTTATGTTATATTGATTGAACAAGGGTTTTTCTACTAACTTTAACGTCAAAAGGGACTTCGTAAATTTTTGCGAATCCATAGGAGACTTCGTTTCCAAAAATGCTCCAAACCAACGCGTGCCGGGCCCCGGGCACAGAATAAACTAAGCCGGCATAATCAGTACTCTTTTCCTGATAATGCCTTGGAACACCTTTTCAAAAATTGGTGTTTCTTCCCTTATGATCACGCTGGGCAGGTTGTGCGAAAAATAAAATTGGGAGAAGAAGCAAAAAAGCTGTGTAAAAACATTCGGTATCTGCAATAAAGCTATTTTATGATCATGCAGGCTAGCTTTCGTCACGTTTTGTTCATAACACAATGATTGGCCTCAAATATGTCAAAAATGTACTTGCCAGTGCAAAAATGAACCGCAAGGAACTTATTTGACGAGAAAGTAAGGGATGTGTTCAACTCGATGTACAAGCAATGAGCGAAATTATTCCTATTGGTGAAAAAAAATTCGCGCAAGATCTAAACTTTGAACAAGAGAGGAACTCATGCTCTTTGCAAGTGTACTTGAACTGTTCGTTAATGTGCACAAATGAAGGAGATAGAAGCTCAAAACCAAAATCACTCAAAATTCGAATTTTTCGTGTAGGGTCATAAAAAATCGGAAACTTGCAACAAAAATCGGAGCAGTCAGTATTGTAGGCTCTTTCACAAGCTCTTTTAACAGTGCAAAGTTTGCGCTGATTGAGCTTTTCTGTGAAAAGTTATGGATTCCCTAAAAATGCCAAAATAAATCAAATTCGCCTTTTGTATTGATTGCTCGAAAATCCTAACTTTTCATAGAGACGCTCAATCAGCGCAAACTTTGCAGTGTTTGAAAGAGCGGATAGAAGAACCAGCAATATCGACTGCTCCGATTTTTGTTGCAAGTTTCCGATTTTTCATGAACCAAGACGAAAAATTCAAATTTCGAGTGACTTTGGTTTTGAGCTTCTATCTCCTTCATTTGTATACATTAACGATCAATTCAGGCACAGATGCAAAGAGAATGAGTTTCTCTCTTATATAAAATTTAGACCTTGTAAATGCGTTAAGAATTCTATTAGTTCTGAATTTTTGAATTTGGTGCGAAAGAACTTTCGGGACGACCTAATAGTTATTTGCTCTACTCGGTCATGGTCGTGGCTGTGACAAACAATGAAACTTTCCTCCTCAACTGTTTAGCAACCCGTAACGAACACTTTCGAGAAAACAGCGCCACGGGATATAGCAGCAATCAGATTATCAACCTGCTCAACTTTTAAGCACCCTTCGTGAGCCATAGGCGATAGCACACCAGCACACGAGCGACGAGCGTCCGATAGACATAACCTCCCGACCCCTTCTGTAACCACATTGTGTATCTCTCAGCCAAGAGCTTGCTACTTCACTTGATTCTTGTATCCCCGCCGTCGCTTGTTTCCCTTTTGTTTTAGCGTTTAAGGTAAAACGCAAATCATAGCCAAATCATAGCTGCACTTCCACAATACACAGCAACATCTGCG